GCCCTGGTTAAAATCGAGACGTCCAACTTTGTGGAGGGGGGGGGGGGGTGGGAGGAGGGCGCGTCAGCCTGTGCTGAGAAAAGGTAATATTTTGAGGTGTCCAAGTGCTAGCAAAGAAACCGCAATAAGAACGGTGAATATATTTCATCTTTAATCTTCTCCTAAAGGAAAGCACTGTCTCGGAAAATTTTGACAGCACTCTCGCGTCAGCCCGAGATATGTTCCTTCTCCTTATCACACTGATGACCGTTCACGCATTCCTTCAGTCCACGGCTCACGAAAGTACTGAATGAGTGAACTACTTCCACGGCCGATCTTTAAACACAGCTAAATCGAGATCGAAAGGCAGTCGTCAATTTGAGAGAATCAGTCTTCCGCACATCTGATTTCAATATGATACGGTCGAACTGCACCTTACAAAAAACGATTACAACGCAGCTGAACCAACACAGCTGGATGGCTCGTCCTGTGGATCCGTATAGCCCAGATACTGCTCATTTCAATAATTAGCTGTTTCTCGAACAAGCTCATTATCTGGACAAGAATGTTATGACCTGAGCCTGAAAATCAAGATGATGTTCATCTTTGCACTGGGCCAGCCTGCGTTGTCAAGTGGTGGCATCCATAAGGTGCCCGAATGCTAGCAACGTCCCGTGGTAAGAATCGTGGGTATATCGATCACACCTTTCCACCTTTACGTTCCCCACGAAGGAGAAACCTAATCTCAAAAGATAGGACAGGATTCTCAGCCAAACTGACCTATTTGCTGTGCTTACCCCTCGAGCTCCTATATACATAATCGACTTGAGTACGAAACATTGCCATGGCAGCGATCAAAAAGAATGGGAAAACAGACAAAGATTAATATACGAAGTTTGAGGTTAAGTGGATCCCTTCTTTGTCGACGACCCGCTCCCAGTGCTGAAAGCCTTTGGACCTCTGGTACCTTCGATTTTTCAACAAGTGCGAGTAAATTGCTGTTGATGCCAATTTCGGCGAATGACAAAACGTTGTAGCCTTTGCCGTCGGAGATCCATCAACTGACTAGAACAGTCCATCAACTGACTAGATCCATTCGTCTATCTGATTGCCGAGGAACAGGCAACATACACCGACAGCGACGATTTTATTCTCTGTATAGAGCCGCCTGAAAGCCACAGTGTGGGAATCCTTCGCTATGATGATCATCCACTTGCGCCCACGTAACTCCTCATGGTAGAACTCGGGCGGCTTCTCATCTGCATTCATACAAAATTGACGATTGTGAGTTTTGGCTCGAGGTCCAAGACCCATATTTCATCTAGGGCCGGGGTGCGTTTTCACAGTCGTGAATGACATCTCATGCTGAGAACATTACTGCTACGGCATAGAATTCCGTACTGCATTCGCGCTTCTTCAAGAAAATTTTGTACCCTCACCACACCCTCTCAACCATCCTCAGTTCGTCGAGCATAACTCGGGCAGCAGTTGCAAAGGGATGTCAGTCTTGTGGGAAAGCTCGACAACGGTCCATCCTCTATGACGAAACTTTTAGTGCTTAACTTAATCCACCTTTTTTCTTGTGCAGGATAAACATTAAAGGACCATCCATCGAAGGACGACAACAAATTTTTTCCTTTAATCCTTTTCGGGCTCCTGAACCAAATCTTCCACCTTGTATTTCGAGAACACCATTACAGGCAACTACTGGTCTGACACAGGTCAAATTTGAGCAGCGCACTTTTCTCTTATGACGCCTGATTTGTAAGTCCGGTGCTGATTTTCTCCATTCAGGCTTCCTCTCAATTTTTCGAGTACTTCTGTGGGTATATTTGCCGAATTTCAAAGATGCATAGCTAAAGGTACTAGCTTCCGAAATGGTGTAGTAGCCCGCTACCCTGTCCCCTTTGCTTCCCTGCCATTCCTCCATATGTTTCTACAATTTTGAGCGGGGTGACCTAATAAATCGCGCATCAGTTGCAAGTACATACACTCTGAACTGAATTCAGAACGAACCACGTAGGGTTCCATAGAAGTCTTCTGCAACAGCGAACCGCACCGTCCACGAGCGACCAGCAACATTTACAGCGTCCATGAGCGTAATTTACGTCAGCTTTAGCGATCGGAAAGTATAGATCGATCTAACGTCTTGCGTCCGCCAGCATCCAGAAGTGGAAAGTATAGGAAAGTATGGAAAGCATAGGAAAGTAGATGGGTAGCAAACAACTACCCTCCTACTTCCCCACCTACTAGCAGCCCGCTACCCTCCTATCTCCCCTTACTCTACCAAATCTCTGCTACCTTCCTATTCCCCTTACTGTCCACCTGCTAGCCGCTGGTGGACGCGGGTGACTTTAGATCGATCTATATCCTATTGTCGCCTGGGTTTTGTGAAACTACAGGGGAGTGAAATGGTACACTTTCCTTAGTCACACAAGTCGGTATCGGTCGGCTCTGGCCGCTGGTGTTAAGAGATGGAAGAATAGGAGGGTATCATTGCGTGAAGGCAGTGCCTACCTTCCTGTTGCCCGACACTCTCTTGAACTGGGCGACTACTGCCGATCGATTCGCGTCCGCGACCGCGTTCGCATTCTATAGCATTGGAGCGTCGTGGCAGTGGAAGCGCGTCAACGCGCGTTACAGTACGTTACAACGTATCCCGCCCGTCACGCAAGGTTCTAATGCTCTCAGGAGAAGCCGTCGAATACATCTCAATTGGAGCGGTTCTCCTTTGAGGCAGAAAGAGACAACCTAGTTAATCCTCGTGTGAGAGACCAAGCAAGAGCAATAGCAGATCATATAAGCGAACCAGACGACCGGGATACAAACTGCTTGCACGCAAGAGGAGCCATACGAGCAATCACGCACCTCAACGCAACTACTCGAAGTGTCTGACGATGGATTTGAACGAGACTGCTCTCTGTTTTTCACCTTGCCTTTTGTACACACGTTTTGATTCATATGAATAAGCATTTAAAAAAACTACAGACTAGTAGATTTATTGAGAGCTGCTCATAAGACGGAACTAAACCCAGGGTTGGCGCTCCGACACCGGAATGGCGTAGTCATCGTAGGGTCCCTTCGGCTTGCAACTGAAAAGAGGCGAGTCGATGTCTAGCCGCAGATGATGAATACCAGAACTCCATCAAAACTCACTTGGGATCCGCCTCATCGCAGCACATTTTACAAGATTTCATGCATTTCGCCTTCTTTTGCTCCCATGTGTGGAACTGTGACTCACAGAAGCCTTTCGGGACCTTCTCTTTACAGCTGCAATGAATGAAATTTCGTTAGTATACATGGACGGGACGAGGTGCTAGGAGAATCGCTGTGGTATTTATAGCTCTACTACACGTACTATTCTGGCTCGTTGTCCTTGCAAGAGTCTTCTTCTTTTTTCTTACCGAAGAGGGCGGCGTGAACGACCACCAAAGTGACAAGGACGACTAGGGCTGCCTTCATAATTTCCTGAAACCCTTGTTGAGAATACTTGTAATTAGCAAAGGTAATGCAAGTAAAAGACTGAATCTAGCGAATGTTGAGGCGAATGCTTTAAAACAAGTGGACGGACGTCTTTTCAACACTGCACCCGTTCTTTTATAGGATCTCTACATGTTTAACCAGCTGTCTCCGTGCGGGGTTCCAATGTGTCCTTATTTACTTGAACTAGTAATGGCGTGAGTGAAACAGGGCGAGTAAACTTATTACATCGACATTTGTTTCCAGAAGATCTCTCTCTTGGGACATCAAAGAGCAACCAATCCAGTGGGACAGGCAAGGTTGCTCGTCCATATTGAATGTAAGAGCCCAACAAGCAACTTTTCACTCTGAAATCATCGCCTATCGTCTATAGAGGATCAGTATCTGACCAGAAAATCTCCACATCTTTCTGACACCGCTGCTCAAAAACAGCTGGCACGATAAATTCCCAAGACGCGTAGGAGTAATACGTCTAGCAGGATAGAACTCGGCGTCTCTGAGCAGACCCTGCGTGGCGCCTTTTCCAAAGAAGGTACCCCTTGAAAAGGGGTTGATATGATGCGGCTGAGTTGCTGCATGGATTCGTGAGCACAAAAATGCAACTATATCTTTTGTAGCAGTGACACGATGCAAACGAGCAACTCGTCCGAAATCGCTTCCTAACTCGAGCAGAACAAAGGTTTTTTCCTGCAAGTTTTTGAGCGCTTCACTTCCCTTTTCGTCATTTTTCCACTCTATGAACCCCAGCGATCACTTCAGGCCGAGCATGGAATTATCATGTCTTATGCCCTCTTTTTTATAAAGTACCACGAGGTTTTGGGGGTTGAGCGACAAAAAGATATAATTTATTAACTGTGAGTTTCCTGGTGCGAGTATCAAAGGAAGAGTGAGGCAACTACCTGGCAAGGATTATTTTGACCCCGTGTCAGGTAAGGAGTGGATTTGAGAAGGCATCGTGCGCGACAGGTCACGACTAACTTTCTGGAGCAGAAAAGCAGAATTTCCGTCAATTTGGCGAAAAACGTCAATACTTCGGAATTCAAAGGTGATGTCGGAGGGCGAGCCTTCCCGAAGCCCCTGCAGAAGCAGCTTCAGAATTTGTACTGCCACATCATAATGTTTCGGACTTGCTCCTAACGCGGCAAAATCATCACCACTATGAGCGTCTGCCTTATAGCAACCGTCGGTTGTTCATTTATCCGTTGAAGCTCGCAGTTACTTGAGTAGTTAGGGTGTTAACTGAGCTGCCCACACTTCCAAAAGTTTCGATCACAGAACGAGCAACAGGCATCGATCTGAAGTGCATAAAGTGGGATACTTCCGGGTGGAAGGGCAGCTCATCTAGTCCATCTATCTACGTCTACAGGAGCAGCTGTGCAATAGATGTAGAAGGGCCATTTAGTGTATATAAAGGCGGTCTCAGTTAGAATGCAACATTCACTCTTTGTGCACCTGCGGATAGCTCAATAGAAAAACTTTCCTCAAAGCATTTACCTCAGTTATTCCTCGAAATTCTGCACAACTCTTACTTTTAGAACAGCATGAGGACTGCACTTGTCGTCCTTGCCACGTTGGTGATCGTTCACGCCTCGCTTTTTGGAAAGAAGAAGGAAGACTACTGCAAGGACAACGAGCCAGAATTGTACGTGCAGTACAGCTTTGAAATCAACACCACACCAATTCTCCTAGTATTGCGCCATTATACGCTCCATATCCCGGAGATGGAGTGGGCGTGGAGAAGTGTCCCACGGAGGGCGCATCTTACGCTATGCTCAAATGAACACGTAACCACGCCCTCCATATTTTCGGGATATCAAGCGTAGAATAACGGAAATTCCTTTATTACAGCTGCAAGGAAAAGGTCCCGAAAGGATTTTGTACATCACAGTTCCACACACCGGAACAAATCAAGGCGAAATGCATGAAATCGTGTGAGTTGTGCTGTGGGGACAGAGATCCTGAAGAGTAAGTTTTTGCTTAAGTTCTGGGATTTCTTACTGGAGCTAGACATAAGAACGTCTCTCTTCAGATGCCAGAAGAAGAAGGCGGAGATCGAAGATTTTTGCGAGTCGAAATTCATAGAAGAAAAGAAGCTCAAGGCAATGTGTGGCGCTACATGTAACCTGTGCAACGAAAAACCGAAGGGACCTTATGATGATTACGCCATTCCGGTGTCGGAGCGCCAACCCTGGGTTTAGAGTAGTTCGAGTTGTACAGTCGTCATCCTTGCACTTGATAGTCAATGTCAGTGCGGCTGCGTGCGGCGCGGTCGTCAGCACCCGTACTGCACCAATCGTTGAACCAGAGAGTGACATTACTGTATTATATCCTTCGTGTTACTCGTTTTCTATCACTTTTTGTCGCATACGCGTTTCAACGAAAAGGCTGAGAAGGCTTCAAACAGTGTGCACGCTCCTTCTCGCCGACACGCCCCTATCAAGTGCAAGGATGACGACTGTACGTCTCATGAATAAATCTGTCTGAGCACATTGCCTTTCTTAGCGCATGATGAAAAAGAGAAGGATATTTCAGCATAAGGTAAAACACAGGAAACTCGTGTGAAATAGGCGAAAATAGATTAAAGACGAACTGCACATTCAGCTTCTTGGATCCTGTTCCTAGCAGTCTAATTTAAATGGGTCCGCAACCGCAGCCTGCATTAGCGTTTGGCTTTTTATGCTCCAATATGGAAAGTAAAGGGGCTGGAAGGTCGTGCCAGCTTCATTCTTCACCTCGCACAGCCGCACTGCCGCCAGGCGCTTCCAATTAGCCGCGCTTTTGTTACGTACATCTGGTTGTTCTTTAGTACGTGTTTCGTCGTAGGACCTTGGCATCGACGCAAATGATGCTGTTTCAGGATAGGGCGAACGGAATGTGGAGTATAACTACCCTACAGCTCCGTTCCCGTGCATTTTTGAGCGAGGAATGTGGTACGGAGCCGCAGCTGTGGGCTCGCTCGCCTCGCACAAGTCCGCCTCGTCCTAGGAGGTGAGTGCGCACTTTGTCTTTCAAGGCAGCGGGCACTATGACTGGGGCAGGGTGGTTGCTACCAATGTCATTGATGGATGGGCAAATACCCTCTCAGCCCTTCCATAAATGGCTGTGACAGTAACTTTCCGCTTTCAGCCGTTGTACCCACCGCCTTTGAGTGTTGGCACGGTTATTAGCTCGAGATTAGGCAGCTCTAATAACCGTGCCAACATAGCTAATAACAGCCAAGGTCGCCGCGATCGCTGCGATCGTCGCTGCTGTCGCGAAGTATGAACGCTGCCTTACTGCCAGTGACAGAGTAGAGAATTGATTCAAATTGGCGGCCAGGGAAAGCAGTGTTAGACTTACATGTTCCACTCAATATCTAGGTATTCTTTCGAGAAAAAGTTTTCAGGCAGAGGTGCACAGAGTTTTTCGGAATCGTTTCCGTACAATTTCCAGCCCCGCAATTATGTTGAGAGATTAGAAACTTTTGGCTGTTGTAGAAGGTAGTGAACGGTTCGATGCGATGCCTATGACATGACTTGCGTGGTCCAGCAGATGCACTACTCCGTGTTTCCATAGCCCCGGCCAGTTTGGTAACAACTAGCCAGCCTCATAAAAAGAAAGGCTCGCCTGGACTGGACGAGAGCAGGAGACGAACAGAGGAGAGGTAGACGAACAAGACAGTCGTAAGTCGTTGCCGTCGGGCGCGGCGTATCGTGCGGCGATGCGCGCAAGTTCTCCGTGTGCATTAGCTTTAACCC